TGGAAGCTGCCATTTAGAAGCTTATCTCCATTCCTACCACGCAAGTCAGACAGCATGCTGATAAAGAGAGGCTGCTCAAGACACCAGATAGTATAGGAGGTAAGGCACCAGCCTTGCATGGCTGCTTTAGTTGACCCTGTTTTGATCCCCAGCACAACATACTGTCCTCTGAGCACTGCCAGGAGTCACCTGAGCAGAGCCAGGAACAACTTCTGAGCACTGCAGGCATCCCAAACATATAGAGACTGCTAAGTTAAATTTGAATTTCAAATAAACAATTTCAGTATTTGGTTTATTGCTTGGGATATATTTGTCCCATAAAGTATGAGAACTTGAAAATTACCTACACATTGGATGTATATCTTAAAAATTATTTTTGGTATTTGAGATCACGCCGGCAGTACTCAAGAGGGCTATTCCTGACTCTACATTCAGGGATCACTCTTGGCAGCATCTGGGGGACCATACATATGGAATGCAGGATCAAACCCGGATCTGCCATGTGCAAAGCAAATACCCTGCCCACTGTACTTTCTCTCCAGCCCCTAGATGTTGTAATTTTAATTACTAAATCTGGCAACCCTAAGCAATTCTATTCGCACAAATACTCTATGTATATTGCCCTTGAATTGCCTTTGTTCACACTGTTTTGCTTTATCTTGGGGCCATATCTGGCTGTGTCAGGGACTATTTCAGGTTCGATGCTTAGGGATCACTCCTGGAGGAGCTCAGGAGATCATAAGGGTACCAAGAATCAAACTCAAATCAGCCACATGCAAGTCAAGCCCTCTAGCTGTTATACTATCTCACCTGTCCCTGCTCATACATTTTTAATGAGATAATGTATGTAGTTTACTGAAAACAGTGCCAAGTACACAATAAACATGTAATAAATAGTAACAATGTTATTCCTCTGGTTTTGTGGATTCAATTCAATTTCTGCTGGTCTTTAGCTCACTTCAGCTCCAATCTCTCTCTTCTCTGGAAACTTAAAACATTTCATGGAAATATCTTACCACACTTAAGCTTTAACTCACAGACACTACTGACAAGCAGGATTTTAAATTTTAACAAAACCAGTTCTTAGTGGATAAGCTGATATATCCATTAAAGTATATAAATAAATCATCTAGGCACTTCCCAACAAATGATGTTCTCTAAGTAAAACTTCATTTCAAAAAGTGATGTTATGGCATCTATTTAAAATAAAAAAATTAAATGTCAGAAATATCTGAAGTTACAAGTTTATCAAGTAGAATTATCACATTACAAATTCTGAACTTTAAAAGAGCATTTGTCAACCAGGGCCATTCCCAGGATATTCCAAAAGGTGAACATCATGCAAATACAGAGGCAACAACATGAGACTAAGGGACCAATAGGAGGTCGGGGGGCCAAAGGGGGCAAACAAGGTCAGAGAGCAGGCCACACTCAGAAAGTTAAGCAACACTGCTCCAAAACATACAAATAATCAGCTCAATAAAAACTTTTCCTATTTTTCAATGATCTGTAAAATTCATAATCAAATTGCATTTGAATATAGTGGAAAAACAACTTCTCAAGCAGAATCTAACATGTTTTCCAATTATGCAGACATCTCAAAACTGTACAGACTTTATAAAATAAGAAAATTCTAGTATATTACTCTCAAAGCAAGCTTTCCCTAAGAGCCATACCCAGGGTGCTGGGTGGGGGGGTGGGGATCTGAGTGATGCTCAGCCCTGCAGTGCTGGTCTTAACAGTTTGGTGCTCAGGAAGCCATGCAGATACAATTTAGAACCCCACATGCTAGGCATTTGCTCTACTAGTTGAGTTTTAAATACAACATCCCCCAATGTAAGCTTTCTTCCTTTTTTTTTAATAAAATATATTCACTAAGTATACTAAATGAATTATTTTAGGTCATTAGTCTACATTAATCACACTCTAAGCATAGTATAGGCTGCCTGAGTCCAAAGTTTGGTTCTGCTATTACTACTGGATTTCTGTGGGTCTTGGTTTTCTGAACTATAAAACTGGATTCTTTCTCAAAAAGATGTGAGAATTAAAAGAATCAAAACACATGAAAACTATTAGAACAATATCTGGCAGGTGGCAAACATTTCAAAAAATGCTCTTAATTCTTCACATTTCTCAGTTTTCTCTTCGGACATATATTCAACCTAGGACTTAATTCATAAAACTAGTAAAGGTAAAGGTAAAAGGTAAAGGCCCTCCCGTTGATCGTCGATTTGCTCGAGCGGGCCCAGTAACGTCTCCACTGGAGACTTTGTTGTTACTGTGTTTGGCATATCGAATACTCTCGGTAGCTTGCCGGGCTCTCATAAAACTAGTAGGAGTGAAAAAATAAAAACCTTTAGCAATACAAAAATAAAAAATTTTAGCAATAAAAAAATATAGAAAACACTTCAGTTTGCCCTGTTTTTAACATCAAGATTCAAACCCCTTCTACAATTCACAAAATTCCATTTAGGGCTCAGGATGTGACTCAGTGCATATACCTCAAGGCTCTGGATTGGATCCCTGGCATGGGGGGGGGGGGGGATTTTTTGTTTCATTTCCATCAGATTATAATCGTTTTAGGAAGATCTATTCAGTTTTGATAGAAAGCTGCTTTTATGCTCATAAGCAGTTTCACACAGGTCTTTCCAAGAAGAACTATTTTATTCTTTGAAGTCCCTTTGTAACTGTCCTTCCTAACACTTTCATAACCTGCTAAATTATTTTTAGTTTCTCTTCTCAAACAGTTATAGATTCCCAAAACCTATTATATAAATAATACAGCTCAAGTCTCTAAGCAACGAATAATTCATGTGTAGATTAATTTTCCAAGTTTATATTAGAGGAGTAATACTAGAAGAAACCAAATACCAGACAACACATTAGTTTTTCAAGTCAGTAACACTTCTTCTTACAAAGAGTCATAATAGAAAATAGTGAACTCAGAACTTAATTACAGTAATATAAAATGAATAAAAACAAATCAGTGATGTTATCTGAACTTATCCCAAACTATTCCCAGTTACCTCAAGGAAAAGAAACCTTTAACAGGGAAGCATATGTAACTTGCATTCTAAAGATCCTAAAACTACCATAAAAATAAGAGACCATTTCAAATAAAATGGCTCACAATTCTTAAAAGAATGCAAAATTGAACCTGCTTTCATACACAGAAGAAACATATCCATATTAAAGCACTATGTCTCAAGGATCATTAGTTGTTCAAATGAGATAAAATTGTACACCAGTGCTTTCCTGAACAATTAGATTCAAAAGGCCTTCACTTTACACTGCTTAATTTTCTACATATTTTGGTAATATTTAAAAAGTTGAGTTTTAGACTTGGGTCATCAAATATTTCTTCATAAATGGACTAACAGCAGGTATTTTAGGTTTTTCAGGCTGAATTCTTTTCACCGTCACATATTTACATTTTCATAAAAACCCTTAAAATAATTTTAAAATGTAAAAATCATTCTAGCTCAGTCTCTATAAACAGGTCAGTCATATTTGCCCTTAGCAATGTTAATTTCCACACCTTTGCTCTACACTACATATTATCTTTTCGTTACTATGCCAATCCCACTGATACCTTTTCCTTTAAATGTTTGTTGAGTCACCTTCTCAAAGAGGCCTTCCCTAACACTTTCTACCTTACCCCTATAACAACCATACTATAGTATATAATAGCGTATCACTTAACATTTTTATCTAATCTTTGTCATCAGATAAATATCCTTCCCACCCCCACCCACATAAATTCCATGAAGGCAAATATTTTGTTTTTTTCAAAACAAAAATGATGTATCCCCTCAACCGAGAACAATAAAAGCATTTTAGTAGGTTCTCAACAAATAAATCTATCCTCACCTTACAAAACAAATACTATAAAGGAAATATACATCCAGATTCAATAATTTAACAAGTAAAACGGCATTTAAGGATAAGATTTGACAAATATTTTAAAATTGTTTCAAGCAATCATAAAACACTGTGGAAAAAGAACCTTGGAAAAGCATTTTCATACTGCCTCACAAAGTACAATTCGTAAAGATTAATTCTCTGCTAGTTTGCCATTATTTCATCTGTCAGTTCCAAACCCCTCCACAGACCTGTTCTGTACTTTGATCTCACCTGTATGTATTCCCTGCCCTTTCAACTGACTAATCAAGTCTGGCAACTTGAAAGTTTAGCAGAGCAGGGAAAAGTTACTTTGCCCCTTCTTTGGCTCCACCTCCAACATTTCCTTTCCCATAGAATTTCTAACTTGCACTCTCCCAATTTGTCTTTACAATGAACATAAAGCAAAATGTTAGGTTCACTTGAACCCTAAACTCCAAATACATAATACTCATTTGTCAGATTTAAAAGTCATTTTTAATTGCGTTTTTTTTTTTTACAATTTAACCCTGTAAGAGAAAAGATTTTTCCTTACCATAACTGAAACGTGTAACTTGGCAAGATAGTCAAGAAACCACTTTGGGAATTGAGTAAGCTCCACCACCTTTCAATTATAACTAGTATATTTCTAATTAAGTTAAACCTTTTTCCCAAGTTATTCATTCTATTTCTACATGGCTACAAATCACCATTCTCAGACAAGCAACTTGACTTTTGAAAGACATAACTTTTTAAAATCCATGTCAACTGATAAGAATTAAGATTTAGACAAAATTCTTTACTATTAGAAAATGTAAGGCCATGCATTGAAAAAAAAATTTAAAAACAACAGTAACAAATTAAAACTTCCATAGAACCTTAATTTCTGGAAACATACTGAACTATTTTTGCAACCTGTTATCACAAAATCAAATCCATGAATGAAGGACAAACCTTTTACAGCCAGCAGTGCAAGAACCAAATCATTTTTTTCTTCTTATAAAAGCTAGGGACTCCCATGTTAAGTCACTTTATACCATATATTCCTAGAGAATAATTTGGCCCAACACACAACATAAACCATTTAATCTAGTTCAATCGAGTAACATAACGTGAGAAACTGCAGTGTAATTCCTTTATTTTCTGCATATTAGTGCTTTACCAACACTACAACCATAAAGAACACAATTCCAAGTACTGTACTTTTTTAGTTTGGGGAGATCACAGTCTACAGACTCATTTACTTATTAGACAAGATTAACCTCATTCAAAACTTACTGCAGTTTTATAAATTCACATAGATACAGAAATTGATGCAATTAAACAAAAACTTCAGGATCTTATTTTCATTCTTAAATTGTAAATTTTTCTGCGGGTTATAATTACCTGCCCCATAATCACCACTGAATATGGTTCAATTTAACTACATCAATTATCAACCTTCTTATATCCTTTAAAGAAAATGTAAGTAAAAATTACAATTTCTTGCCAAGATTTAGGGCTTCCCAAATTTCAAATGTTTCCCCTTCCCCCTCCCCACTAGACATTTCCCAAAAACATCTCTCCTGCAACATTCAATAGCAATCACTTGATGTATAAAAATTTAACTGTATGTCCCCAGTTATTTAAGACACAAAAAAAAAAATGGCTGCCTACCAGTCCGTCACAAGTTAGAAATACTACATTTAAGAATTAACATGAGGGTTTTCAAGTTTCCTCCAGTTTAAGCATTTATACCTTTGTGCTTGTCTTATTTTAGGATGTTACTATAATATTGGTATTTCTATAATCCAAGTTTATGTACCTTAAAATGTAATCATTTAAAACACTAAGAATTAAAACTTATGGTGGAGCTTTGGGAATTTCAAAAGCAACTAAAAATGTTCTTTATTATGTCTGACAGCTTCATTTCTAGAGATACTTCTAAAGTGAAACTGAGAAGGCAAGAGTTGCATTTTTTTTTTCATTCAAAAATCCCTCTGCACCATCAGGAGCCTACATCATAGCACCTTTTCTCATTTGCTCTGTAAGTATGCTTGTCAGGTGTTTTAGTTTGAATAGTAAATTTTGTAACCTTATGCTTCTCATACATCTTTGGTAAAAGCTCCATTATACAATATGGCCAAAGCACGAAGGACCAATAACGTCCAACTGTATATACCATGATATCCCGCAAATTTTAGTTTTCAGACACCCTCATAAAACCCACTTCACCTTTCCTGTATACTGCCTCTGTAGGCTTCGTTGCCAAAATTCCCTAAGTTTAACTCCTCGAGGATCTCTAAAATTAATCCTTAAGGCTATGTGAGAACCAGATGTTGTTTTGCAAGTCCATATCAAGCATTAACATTTGGTTCAAAGTACTATAGTGGTCTCAATAGTCTAGTAACTGGACCTAACCAGCTAAGTGATCTTGTTAGGATCTAGGTATCACCAGTGAGCACACCGTTTACCCTTGAAGAAAAATTAGTTTACATTCATTGTCATCTGTAGGTTCTTTCATCCTACTTCTTCCCCTTTAATCACTCAAGTCTACACATTCACTCACATTTCCTTCCTTTAAAGGAGACGGTCTATTACCTATTACCGAACCAACAAGATATGACTATTCGCATGAGTTAATTCTGCAATCAAATAGAATTAAATACCTTTATAAAACATGTTTTCCAGTGTTCTAATTAATGGAGATGTGGATCACTCATCTATTAAAGTCTTATCTTCAGCTTAATCAGTTGCAGTAAAGTGAAAATAGGAATGTGTATTTTCCCAACTAGGTAAAAGGTGCTTAGGATTTGAATTTTTGGATGCTTCATTAATGAATAAACAATAAAGGAACTTAAGAGCTATTGGTCTTAGATATTTGACACAAGGTAAAAGTATATATTCCAGTTTTGCCCAAGTCACATAACATCTAAAATATTTAATCGGTGTGTGGCATACACCATTATTATTGCTCCTTTTTCTGCAGAGATATTTTGGAATTAAAAATAGGAAAAACAGTAAAACTGCTAACTCTGCAGTGAAAAAAACCTCTCTTTGATGGGTTACATTGAACTTTTATGCAGTGTTAGCTATGTAGAGGGGAACTCCAATTTTAACCCTACTCATGCATGATGTTTCAGAACTTAATAAGTGACATTTCAAAGAACCCCTTATATTATCTGTTTAACACTGATGTGCAACTGGAACATATTTCAATGGTATTACTCATTATTTGCCCTTGTGGGCTGTACACTATACTGGTCTTCGATGTCAAAGATCACACTTGAAATTACTAAATTAGAACTTGTAAGAGGGGGGAAGGCCTTAAACATAAAAGACAAACGGCAGTTTGATTATGCAATAATTTTCAGTTTACTAGATGAAACAGACTTGCAACACAGTCTGCATGAATGCAAAATAAGCCATCTACAGCAAGTGATACGGAAACTGGGCAAAAAGGAAAAAAGCATACATTGGAGGAAAAAAGATTCTCTCAAAATTTAAAAAAAAAAAAATCAAACCATTATTTAAGGAATTTATACCCAGAACGGCTATATTTTTCCCCCCATCCCATTTGCTGGAAGTCAACAAGAGCTTTTTTTTTCTTTTTAGCACTTTGTGTTCATTTCAAAAGTCGGATCATCCTAACGCAAAGCCGAGAAGGAAAAAAAAAATAAAGAAAAAACGAACCAACCAAGTAAAGCCCCTAACCCGCCCCTCCCGCAAACGTGGAACAGGAACTCCGGAGTTCAACCTCGAGCGAGAAAAGCGACCCCGGGGCGCGGCGACCATCCAGGGCCGGGGCCGCGGGGGGGAGCGCGCATTAGGACTTGTAGTTGGACGTCAACCACGTGAGCCCCTCGTAGAGTCCGTCCCCCGTGGTGGCGCAGGAGGGCTGCACATACCAGTTCCGGTCCCGGATGCGGGTCAGGCCCAGTTTCTCCTGGATCTCGTGGGGCTTCATGGCGTCGGGCAGGTCCTGCTTGTTGGCGAAGATGAGGATGATGGCGTCCCGCATCTCCCGGTCGTTGATGATGCGGTGTAGCTCCTGGCGGGCCTCGTCGATGCGGTCGCGGTCGGCGCAGTCCACCACGAAGATGAGCCCCTGGGTCCCGGTGTAGTAGTGCCGCCACAGCGGCCGGATCTTGTCCTGGCCGCCCACATCCCACACGTTGAACTTGACGTTTTTGTAAGTCACCGTCTCCACGTTGAAGCCCACCGTGGGGATGGTGGTCACCGACTGGCCCAGCTTCAACTTGTACAGGATCGTGGTCTTGCCGGCCGCGTCCAGGCCCAGCATGAGGATCCGCATCTCCTTGTTACCGAAGATCTTGGACAGCACCTTCCCCATCGCGACGGCGGAGCCGGGGCCGGGGGCATTCAGGGGTCCCGGTTCTTCCGCTCACCCCCACAGCGCCGCCGCGAAATCGAAACGCCGCGTCCCGGCCGCGAGGGCGCCCGTGCGGCCTGCGTGGGTGGCGGCGCCGGGGTGCCGGGGGAGGCCGAGGCGCCGGCCCGCCGCTCACTCGGACATCACCGCCCGGAGCCCGGGATTCCGCCGCTGCTCGCCGCCGGGGCCCGACGTCTGCGCCCGACGAGCAGCCGCCGCCCTGCTGAGGCGCGGCCCGGCCCGGAACTGCCCTTCCCCCCCCGCCGGCGCAGCACGAGCGCCGCCGCGGTGCCCGCTCCGCCGCCGCCTGTTCTGCGGCGCCCCCGGCCCGGCCGTCGGTCCGCGAACACCAGGCTCCCCCCGGGCTCAGGCCACCCGTGCGGCTCCGGAGCCCCGGCGGGTCATTGATCCTCGCAGGAAACTCCGTGCGCTGCCTGCAAGAGACATAGAGAAAGAAACCAGTTAGAGCTGGGACGCCCCTAGGGAAGCAGAGGGCCCCCCCCAAGGGCCGGCTTTTCCTGCTGCGCCCCCGGAGGATACCTCCAGCCGCCGCCCCGAGCGCGGGATCCCTCCGGCCTCTACCTCCTCCTCCCAGCTCTGCCGCCGCCGCCGCCGGAAAAGGCGCCGAGGAAACCGCCTCACTTCCCCTCCCGAGTACGCAGGCGCGGTAGGACCCGCCCGTTCGGACGAGAGCGACCTCTAGCCGGAGCGCGGCCCGCGCGCACAGCGTCAGGGGCGTGGCCACGCTCGGCGCAGGCGGTGCTACGGCGGCTCAGAGGGCCCGGGGGTGGTGCCAGCTCCCGCTCCCAGACCCGCGGGAACTCGTGCTGCTGCCGCGGCGGCGGCGGCCCGCGCCCACCTGTCGCTTCTCTAGCCCCGCCTCCCGCGTCCGACTTCCTCTTCCTCCCCTCGCTCCTGCTCCACCCTCGCTCGAAACAGAGGAGCCCCGACGCTCCGCATACCACTGGGTGGGGCTCGCGGGCAGCCAGCGCCCGACCGTGAACGCCTCCCTGTCCTCCCTCCAGGCCCGCTTTTGAACTCTTTTTATTTTTTTCCCGCCAGATGCTCCGCCTAATGTCGCCATCCTTCCCCGGCCGTGGCGCGTCCTCAGTCTCCCCGGAACACCCTACCCGCTTTGATTCCGCAGTTCTTGAGAAAAGGCGCGTGGGAGGCGCGGTGTCGGGCGGAACCAGCCCGTGCGGCGGTGCCCTCACGGGGTCTGGGTTTGCGCCTCACCTGGTTCACTTAAGTATGCTGCGTCCGCACCCGTCTCATCAGGACCAGCGCACGAGAATCTTTAGTATCGCAGTATCCGGAATTTCCGTGCCTTTTCACCGCCTTTTCAACTTTCTTAGTGGTAGGCGGTAACTTCCCGTATTTAAGTCATCGCCTTTTCATGGTTCTGCAGCTCCTGGCCCACCCAGGCGACTGGAGCTTTCCCATCCACAGAGTTAGCACAAGGTTTGGGATCAGTGAGATTGCCACGATTGGATCTGGAAAGTTGATTGTCTCGTGTAATGAATGTGATAGTGACCTTGCTCTCTGCATCCTGTTTGAGGACTAGATAATAGATGCGGAAGACCTTAGGGATTCCCTTATATCACCTGTTTAGTAATAAAGCTACAATTCAAGTGGAGGGGCAGAATGATGGAACAGTAGTGAATAAAACATCTGGCCAAAGAAAGGTGGAACAGCGGGTAGGGTGCATACTTATCACACAGCGGACTGGATTCGATTCAATCGCCGGCACCACTTAGATTCACCACACCCAGCCGAGAATGATCCCTGAGCACCGCAAATATGGCCCCAAAAAATCAATCAAATAAATAATATAGGGTGAAGTCATAAATGAACCACAATAAGGAGGGGAGAATATTTTTTAAGAAAAAAAAACATAGTATATGTTGGCTTTTTTAGAATTTCACAATTTAAGGAAATAAAACAGCCTTAAGTGGACATACTAAAGTATGTAATAGTCTCTCAATTTATTAGTTCCCCTACACTTTAAAAACTAGTGGTGTACTACGAAAAGAAGATAAATCAATTGAGGTTGAAATTGATTTATTTCAATTATTTCACCCCTCTCCAGTTTTTATTATTTTTAAATAATGATCACACAGCAAACCAAGTAATAGAATTTTGAATTTGTTTTGTTTGGAGGCCACACCCAGCGATTATCAGGGGTGACTCCTGGCTCGGTGCTCAGGGATTCCCCTCCTCTGGCCCCCTCTGCAGGGCTCCTGAGACCACAAAGGATGCTGGAGATCAAAGCCTGGTAAGCAATGTGCAAGGCAAGTACCCTCTCCAGCCCCAATAACATAACGTTTTGTTTTGTTTTGGGGTCACACCTGGTGATGTTCAGGAGTTACTCCTGGCTCTACACTCAGGAATTCTGGCGGTACTCAGGAGACCATATGGGATACCAGCGATCAAACTCTGGTTGGCCACGTGCAAGGCACTCCAGCCTTGTAATAAGAATTTTAAAACAAATCATTTAGCTATATGACAGTTTAAAAAGACTGAATTTTAATGAAACCAAAATATATACAAGAGTAGCAAGTTAAGCAACAACTACATCGTTCACGGATAGTTTGTTTTCTTGATTCCTTCTAAAACAATTCAAAAAGTAAATTTCTAATTTAAAACTTTCCAGGCAATAAAGTCTTACAGAAAACTAAAATGGAATTTATGAAACAAAATATTACAGTTCCCAGTTTGTACTGTTTTACTCTATAAAGTTTTAAACACAAATGAAAGTTCTAAAAACCTTAGGAGAAAAAAAATGATTCTACTTCTTAAAGTCTAGAAAAAGATCCCTGCAACCTACTTATAAATAGGCTTCTCTTGAAACATGGGGAAAAAATGTTCATATGACCTTCTATTAAAGAAATACAAATAGGGGCTGCAGCAATGGCTCAGTGGGTAGGGCGTTTGCCTTGCACGCGGCCATCCCGGCTTCGATTCCCAGCATCCCATATGGTCCCCTGAGCATCACCAGGAGTAATTCCTGAGTGCAGAGCCAGGAGTAACCCCTGTATATCGCCAGGTGTGACCCAAAAAGCAAAGAAATAAATACAAATCAAAGTCACAATAATAAACATCTCATACCTGTATCAGTGAACTACATCATTTCATGATTTCTGACTGTCACTGTCACTGTCCTCCCGTTGTTCATCGATTTTCTCGAGCGGGCCAGTAACATCTCCATCGTGAGACTTTGTTGTTACTGTGTTTGGCATATCGAATATGTCACGGGTAACTTGCCGTACGGGCGAGATACTCTTGGTAGCTTGCCGGGCTCTCTGAGAGGGGCAAAGGAATCGAACTCGGGTTGGCCATGTTGGCTGCGTGCAAGGCAAACCCCCTACCTGCTGTGCTATTGCTCCAGCCCCATGATTTTTGACATTTTCAATAAACAAGTGATATGCATATGATACTCCTTTGCACATGAAAAGAAAAGCTCTCTATTGGCACAGAAGATTTAATACAGCAGGTAGGATGCTTGCTTTGCATACCGCTTACCCAGATTCAATCCCTGGCATCCCTTATGGTCCCCCTGAGCACCACCAGGAGTAATTCCCAAGTGCAGAGCCAGCAGTAACCTTGAGCATCACCATTTGTGGCCCAAAACACAAAATAAAACCAGACAAACAAAAAGCTCTTCAACAAGGATGTTGAGCAAACTGGACAGTGAAAATCAAAAGAGTGAAACAGGACCGTTCTGTAACTCTGTGCACAAAAATAAATTTTAAATTAATTAAACGTTCGAATATCAGATCTGAAACCATAAAATACATAGAAGAAAATACATAGAGATGTCTTTGAGGATTCAGTCTCAAATGCAAGGGAAATGACAACAAATTAACAGTACTAAATCAAAAGATTTCTGTAAAATGAGAAAAAAAACAGAGGAATGAAAAGATAATCTACTGAATGGGTGTAGGGTAACGTTGGTTTGCCCTTCCTCCCTTGCTGCTGGGAGCTTATGTTTGTTAATTGCCCCTCAACCTGTCAATTGCCTTTGTCTCTGACTTGTAAATATTGTCTGTCTTTTCTCCTTAATGTCCTTTGCATGATTCACTATTCACTATTTCAGAGCAATTGCTTTTTGTATGGATACAAGAAGACAGTTAAAAAGACAAGCCTGTGACTTGGGAGTTGATCGACTCCAGATAATATTACCTCCTGGACATCTGCTCTCTCGACTTTTTTAAGCCTCAGTTGCCCTTACTTCGTAGATCTCCAAAAGCAGGATCCCAACAAGGGACTGGATGGACCCAGGGCAAGTGGTGAGCTATGAGCTACCCTGGCATCGAAATGGGCCTGGCCAAAGTGCCCTAATGCTTAACTATAAGAGCTTGGTCATGGACAAATTCTGTCATGATCCAAAAGTAATAACTAGATTTGGACCTTGCTAGGGTTAGGAATGATTAATTTGGCCTGAGCACTATAATCTGAATCTGTGGTGAGATGTCCCCAGGAGAGTCACCCTACAAGCCTAAAAGTATCTATTGCTATGTGTCCATACAGAATGATAAATATTAGGAAGTAGAATAAAAGATTCTAATTAAGTTGCTGATCTAAGGAGAGGAGAAACACCTTAAGGGTTGTTTTGCCCTTGTGGGATGCAGGTGGTTGGGAAGATTGGGAAAAAAAAAAATTGATCTCGCTTCCCGTGGGGAGGCGTGGTTGGGGAGGCGTGGTGAGAGGATAAAAAAGAATGACTACGAGAAAGGGGAGATTGATGGAGAGAGGGGATTGACGGAGAGAGGGGATTGAGAGAGAAAGGAGAGAAGAGGAGATAGCAGAGGGATAGAGACAGATATACAGCGGGAAGAAAGAATTGCGCGGTTAGAGCGAGAGAGAGAGAGAGAGAGAGAGAGAGAAGAGTTGGAGAGAGCTTGGAGAGATGAAGATTGAATAAATGGCAACTAATCAGCTACCAGCTTGGCCCTCGTTCTTCATTCATTTGTCCAAGGCAACAGCCGTCCCAAGTGGAGAAATGACTCGAGAGCAATGAATGTGGGCGGCGAGAGAAAGCTGCCTGGAGAGCCCTGGAACATCCTTTTACATATAATCCCCTCGCGAGAGGAGTTTACGCAGCTCTTCATGAATGAGGAGGAGCTTACACAGCTAGAGAGTGGGAGTTTACACAAATGGAAAAGATATTTTGCTCTCAATAATTTAAAAATATAGCCCAACGAAAAAGTGGGCAGAATATTTGAATAGCTACTTCTCCAAAGAGGACATATAGATGACCAAAAGACACATGAAAAGGAATGCTTGTTTGACTTACTATTAAAGAAATACAAATCAAAGTCACAAGAATAAAACATACTGCATCAATGAATTCCATCAAAAAAGACTATTGGGCTAGAAAGACAATACAGCAGGTAAGACAAATGCTTTGCATGCAGCAAACCTAAGATCTACCTCTGGATAGAGACCCCTATGTCCTCAGAGCCTCACCAGAAATGATCCCTCTGTTCCCTGAGCACAAGCCTGGAGTAACCCCTGAACACCACTGGGTATGACCCAAAAAGAAAACAAAACAGAACTGAAGTTACCCAGACAGGAAAGGTGGGAAAGAGAGGGGGAAATGGTGTGGTCTTCACTGCTGTAGTTAAAGGTATTAACATTTTGAAGTTTCAAAAATGTAAACAATGGATTGGACAGATAGTTCAGCAGGTAGGGCA